CCAATTTAACCTTTAATATCCAAAGTATTTAAGTTTCGGGTAATCCAAATTTCCTTTGTCTCACTACATAAAACTTATAAATGTCTAAAATGCACATATTACTTACTTAAATATATTCTAATTTTATTTCATAAACGTCGATTGACCAACATTTTCTAACATTCTTCCCTTGCAGGAAAGGTGCTCCAGGCTACGGTGCATGTGGCTGCTGCTGTTCTTGGCGGGATCGTCTGTTCTCATCTATTACACCTTCTACTCTCAGTCCCTTCATTACAGGTAATTCAGCACAGAATTCTCCATATTGGCACAGGTTGCCCTCATCTCAGAGCCCCAATCATGGACCCGAAAAAAGGTACAGGTTGTCCTCGATTTACAACCATTCATTTAGCGACCGTTGGTAATTTACAACGACACTGAAAAAAGCCACTTCTGGCCGTTTTTCACACCACATGACCATCTCCCTGGTCGTGATCAAAATTTGGGTGCTTGGCAACTGGTTCTCATTTATAACTGTTGCAGAGTCCTCGGCTTACGTGATCCCCTTTTGTCAACGGGGAAGCCAGATTCACCTAACAGGCATGTTGCTAATTGAACACAACTGCTGCAAGAAAGGTGGTAAAATGGGGTGAAATTCACTTAACTGTCTCGCTTAGCAACAGAAATTATGGGCTCAATTGTGGTGGTACATTGAGGACTGTCTGTACTCATGGCTCAAGATTTGAAGATCCGATGATCGTCTGTCTGTTTTCTCTCTCCTTTTGCAATCATGTGTTCACACTTTGGGCACTCGGCTCCCGCTGACATTTGTGGCCATTGCAGCATCCCATAATTATGTGACTAGGATTTATAACATTTATTTTTTTTTGCCAGAAACCAGTGTTCGTTTCCAATTTCCTGCAAAACAAAGTCATTTGGGGACAATACGTTCGCTTATGATCACTGTGTTCGCCTAATGACCATGGCGATTTGCTTAACAAAAAGTGTAAAATCCAGTCAGTTTCACGATTACCTACTTGGGTATGTCTAATCTAGTGAGAAAAAAGGACTACGGGAGATAACGATAGTTGTTGGAGTTAAATCCGGTCCGTGTCATATTCCAAGCTGGGAGAAGAGGTAGGAAAAATGAATTGGAGGCAGGCTGCAGTTTTGGAAAGGAGGTCTCTGTTTATTTGGTAACCAGAAACAACAGTGACAGTGGTACGTTTCTGGGGCGACTGACAAATTGGGGTTGAGAGTAGATGGAGTTTTATACAATTTGGGGGGCTTTGTGATTGAGATGCCTCTTCCTGTGCAAGGATATGTCCTTTAATATTTTAATAGCTGTTGCCAGATTCCTACGGGCTCGTGTAGGAGTCATGCCTAGCTCTACAGGCAAAAGGGGAAATGCAAATCCTAGGTGTTTTGTTTGTCTGAGCTAATCTTGTCAATTTCAGCCCTTGCCTACTGTGCTGCTTATTCGGAGCGGTCGGCTGTCCTTCGTTTATGAATAGAGTGGCCTGGCTTTATGGATGAATACAAAATATCCAGTCATAAAGCCTAGCCCAGGGGTAGGCAACCTCGGCTCTTTTATGACTCATGGACTTCAACTCCCAGAATTCCTGAGCCAGCATGGCTCAGCTTGGAAACCTCTCCCTTTCCCCTCAGCATGGCTGGCTCAGGAATTCTGGGAGTTGAAGTCCACGAGTCATAAAAGAGCCAAGGTTGCCTACCCCTGGCCTAGCCTCTTCAGGATTCTGCTTGAGGCTGTTTTCCTATAGCAGAAAGACTGGGGCTGCTTTCTGCCTTTGTTAAGATTTTTCTCCTCTTCTCCTTTAGGGGAAATATTCTACTCTGCTTCCTTTCAATAGTGTGTAGAATATTTTATTCTGGTGAGGAGGCTCTCCCCACACAGTGTTTCAGTATTTGTGGGGCTGCCACAAAGATGAGGGGGACAAAGCCCCCGAAGGCAGGACAAGAAGCAACAGATGGAAACTAATCAAGAAGAGAAACTACCTAGCTCAGGTGTAGGCAACCTTGGCCCTTTTATGACTCATGGACTTCAACTCCCAGAATCCCTGAGCCAGCCATGCTGAGGGGAAAGGGAGAGGTTTCCAAGCTGAGCCATGCTGGCTCAGGAATTCTGGGAGTTGAAGTCCACGAGTCACAAAAGGGCCATCATTTCCCACCTTTGCCTTAGCCCAGGGGTAGGTAACCTTGGCTCTTTTATGGCCTGTGGACTTCAACTCCCAGAATTCCTGAGCCAGCCATGCTGAGGGGAAAGGGAGAGATTTCCAAGCTGAGCCATGCTGGCTCAGGAATTCTGGGAGTTGAAGTCCACGAGTCATAAAAGAGCCAAGGTTGCCTACCTCTGCCCTAGAACTAAGGGAGAATTTCCTGACAGTTAAAACAATTAATCAGTGGAATAGATTTGCCTCCAGAAGTTATGGTTGCTCCATCACTGGAGGTTTTTAAGAAGAGACTGGATAACCATTTGTCTGAAATAGTATAGGGTCTCCTGCTTGAGAAAAGGGTTGGACTAGATGAGCTCTAAGATCCCTTCCAACTCTTGTATTCTGTGTTCTATGACTGTAATTTCAGACGCCATTACGTTCCTAAGCCGAGAACTACCTGTAAAATGGCAGAGGTAGTTTATTGGAGGAGCATTGATTTCTTTTTTTAGCCACAACACAAACCTTGCTGTCAAAGAATACAACAAAATTGTGTAAAAGAAGGAATGGCAAAGAGGAAGCAAATCTGATTCTTTGGTCCTGGAATTCAAGATCACCTTGCAAATTTAACTGAGAATTTTCACCTACAATTAGCATCTCACACAAGTTCTTAAAACAGTTAAGGAGAAAGAACCAGCAAATGACACATCTGGAAAAATACAGGAAGTCCTTGACTTACGACCTCAACTGAGCCCAAAATTTATGTTGCTAAGTGAGAAATTTGTTAAGTGAGTTTTGCCCCGTTTAACATCCTTCCTTGCCACATTTGTTAAGTGAATTGCTGCAGTTGTTAAGTTATTAACATGGTTGTTAAGTGAATCTGGCTTCCCCATTGACTTTGTGCGTCAGAAGGCCACAAAAGGGGATCACGTGACCCCAGGACGCTGCGGCCGTCATAAATATGAGCCAATTGCCAAGCATCCAGATTTTGACCACATTTCCATGGGGATAATGCAACGGTCGTAAGTGTGAAACATGACCATAAGTCGCTTTTTTCAGTGCCATTATAATTCCAGCGGTCACTAAACGAACTGTTGTAACTCAAGGATTACCTGTAGAACGAAAAAATATATATATTTTCCTGCTTTCCTTTCTTTTCTCCGTTTGGATTCTTCCGCTGTCTGTATTTTTTCTGTTCTGCCCCTGAATGCGCTATGTTGTTATTGTATCCAAGTTACCTTTTCATGGTGTTTTTTTTTTTATGGTTTCTCTTCAAAGCTTGATCCTCTTAAATCCGGCGGTGGATTCTTTGAACTTCTGGAATGTGCTCTGGATCGTAGGAATCACAGACTTTGTTCTGAAATTTCTCTTCATGAGCTGCAAATGCATCGTTCTCCTGCTGCCTTGTTTTATCATGTCTCTTAAATCCAAGGTAAAGATGCGGCTGTTTTTAATTTGTATTTTGTTTGTTTTTTATTTAGTTGTTGTGCGGCTTTTGATGAGAGCCTTGTTGTCCAGTCTCTTCTTAAAAACTTCCACTGTTGGAGCATTCACAATTTCTGGAGGCAGGTTGTTCCACTGGTCAATTGTTCTAACTGTCAGGAAGTTTCTCCTTAGTTCTAGGTTGCTTCTCTCCTTGGTCAGTTTCCATCCGTTGCTTCTTGTCCTGCCTTCAGGCGCTTTGGAGAAGAGCTTGACTCCCTCTTCTTTGTAAAACTGCTGTCACATCACCCCTAATCCTTCTTTTCATTAAATTAGACATTTATTTAAGGTTTGGCTAGCCTAAAGAAAAAAAGAAATAGGGGTGACATGATAGAAGTATTCCAGTATTTGAGGGGCTGACACAAAGAAGAGGGGGTCAAATTATTCTCCAAAGCACCAGTAGGCAGGACAAGAAACAATGGTTGGGAATTGATCAAGGAGAGAAGCAACCTGGAATTAAGGAGAAACTTCCTAACAGTGAGGACAATTAACCAGTGGAACAACCTGCCTCCCGAAATCGTGGGCGCTCCATCACTGGAGATTTTTAAGAAGAGGCTAGACAGTCACTTGTCTGAGATGGTATAGGTTCTCCTGCTCAAGCAGGGGGCTGGACTAGAAGACCTCCAAGGTCCCTTCCAGCTCTATTCAATCTTGAGTCTTGAAAATACTTAGCAACCTGCTCAAAAAGAAGAGGACAGGTAGCCCTTGACTTGCAACCCCAATTGAGCCCCAAATGTCCTTTGCTAAGAGGGCTGAGTTTTGCTCCGTTTTACAACCTTCTTTGCCGCAGTTGTTAAGCAAATTGCTGCAGTTGCTAAGGAAATCATATGGTTGTTAAGTGAATCTGCCTTCCCCCATTGACTTTCTTGTCAAAAGCCAGTTGGAAAGATTACAATTGTTGATCATATGGGTCTGGGACACCACAGCCGTCATAAATACCATGTTTCCNGTGGACTTCAACTCCCAGAATGCCTCAGCCAGGCACATGTGCCTGGCTGAGGAATTCTGGGAGTTGAAGTCCACAAGTCATCAAAGGGCCACGTTTGAAGACCCCTGGTTTGGGGCATAGCTTTCCATATTTGGATGTTTGGTTCTTAGCTTCGTCTTGAAGTTCAGTTCCCCCATTTTAAAGGGAAGAGGGGATCCATCTTTTTAATGCCATCCCTGCCCTTTCCCCCTCTATTTTATGTTCTGTGCTAATGAGCATCTAGATTTTTTTAATTTTAATTTGTCCTTTTGTTGCCATATACACAGGGCCTCTCAGCTCACCGTTAGGATGTAGAGAACCTGCTGTGTCAAAATAGATTCCCTTCAAGGAGAATACTATAGAACAGTGTTCCTCAACTTCGGCCATTTTAAGATGTGTGGGCTCCAGCTGGCTGGAGAATGCTGGGAGTTGAAGTCCACCCATCTTAATAGTGGCTGCAGTGGGAAAACACCGCTATAAAATGGCTCCTGCCATGCTCCATTGAATGCGGAGAGAGATTTTGTTTCAAAATAAGCGTTCAGGTTGGGCAAATAAATACCCACATCTCTTTTTGTTTTGTTTGAAAGCCAGGTGAAGCTACATAGCAAAGATTAGAGGTCACGCTGTCGGAATGAACGTGGCTGTGATGTGTAAATCACATGAAAAGGATTTCACTGATACGATGCTGTTTGCTCTAATTATGCTGCTTTGATTTTCGGAGCGCAGGGCGTTGTAATTTGAGTTTCTGCTCCCTTTCCTGCATTTTGTACGATGTTTTGATTGCGTAATGCTGCCAGGGGACAGGGAGGAAGAAGGTGGAGAACTGGTTAGATAGGAAACTGGCATCTCCAAGCCTGCCTTTACCAAGTATTTTCCCAAAATGTCGGGCTCATCCTATCCTGAGGGGTCTTTGGTGCTGTCTGAACTTGGTTGTTTCCTTGCAGACGTTTCATGACCCAACTAGGTAACATCATCCGTGCTGTAAGAGAGTGGGGTATGAGGAGGAGGAAGACTGTAGGGTCCTTGGTGCTGTCTGAGCTTGGTGGTTTTCTTGCAGACGTTTCTTTACCCAACTAGGTAACATCATCCATGCTGGAAGAGAGTGGGGTATGAGGGGGAGGAAGACTATAAGGTCCTTGGTGCTGTCTGAGCTTGGTGGTTTTCTTGCAGACGTTTTTTTACCAAGCTAAATAACATCACCAGTGCTAATAGAGAGTGGGGTTTCTTCTCATTTTATATAAACATAGAGCAGACACCATTCCTTACAGCAGGGGTCTTCAAAGTTGGCCCTTTTATGACTTGTGGACTTCAACTCCCAGAATTCCTCAGCCAGGCACACGTGCCTGGCTGAGGAATTCTGGGAGCTGAAGTCCACAAGTCATAAAAGGGCCAAGTTTGAAGACCCCTATCTTACCGGCGCCGATGATATTAGCTAGTTGGGTCATGAAATGACTGCAGGAAAACACCGAAGCCCAGAGAGCACCAAGGACCCCACATTTCAACCCTCAGCTACAAATATTCTCCTTTATCAGTCACTCCCTTCTGTTATGAGGGCTACAAAAATACCATTTATTAATTCAGCACTAGCACTAGGATTCTGATTCATTAATTGTATAGGATCTTGTTGCACTTTAGGGCTGCAGCGCCCCTGTGTATAAAAGGCTAGTTGGATTTATTTCCTTGTCTTAGAGAGCATTGATATTCTCGCATGCAAATTCTTGCTTTTTTTTTTTTTTTTAAGAAACTTTGGTTTAGTGCCTTTTTGTTACTTTTGTTGTTGTTTTTTCCTTTTGATTCCTCCCCCCTTTTTTTTTGCTTGTATAATTGGCCCTTTTTTCCTAACAGGCATTTCTCTGGGAATAGGACTGCTCACAACTTTTATGTATGCAAACAAAGCCATTGTAAATCAGGTTTTCCTAAGAGTAAGTATCAGTTCCTCCAGCACGGTTGTAAGTATTTTTAAAGCTTAATTTCACTCAGGAGATTCTGGACAGAAGTATAGAGTGTGGTTTTAACTTTTGTTCTACCAGGCTATAAAATAGCATAGTTGTTTTTTTTTAAAGACGTTTTCTTTTAAACATGAGGTTTATTTTTAAAAAAACTGACCTGGAACATCTTAGATCAGGGGTCTTCAAACTTGACCCTTTTATGACTTGTGGACTTCAACTCCCAGAATTACTCAGCCAGCATGCCTGGCTGAGGAATTCTGGGAGTTGAAGTCCACAAGTCATAAAAGGGCCAGGTTTGAAGACCCCTGGTCTGGATCCAAGCCTGCAGTTTCATCAAAATGGCCGACTGAGGAATTCTGGGAGTTGAAGTCCACAAGTCATAAAAGGACCACGTTTGAAGACCCCTGTCTTAGATAAACACATTCAGA